TGAAATAACGGGAAGACGTTAAAAAGAAGACAGTTTGAAAGAGCACGAAACTTCGAAGATGGTTATCTCGTAATAAATTGATCTTCTCGCGCGTTAATCAAGTTTTACTCGTTGCACAACGTTATCGCGCGTCGCTATTTCCGTTTATTCCCCTGCGCGTAGTCTCGGTCGCGAGGATGGTCCTGTTAGGAAATATCGGGGAAAAAATGACGGTTCGGTTGGCTAATTTCGTCACGGACGGAAGCAACGCCCAAACGTAATCGCGTCAAAAGTTGGGATTCGTTTCGCGTGACTAACTGACATCTCGGCTGCTACGAAGATGAATCATGGAAAGTTCGCTCTGCTTTCGATCTCGTGAAACAAAGCGTGTAAAAGCTCGGATAATATTAAGACTTTGCGTAATTGAAGGTGACGTCACGTTTCAGAGGTCAGGGTGCCACTTGCGTAAGTTTACTTTCATTCATGGCAATGGTCACACGTTGAAGCCGTTAAATTCGCGCTCTAAGACGTCACGCTCGTTTATGCTCTTCACCGATTCGCGAGGACACGCGGTTTCGGGAGGAGAAAGAAGCTTCGTCGCATTCGCGCGTTGTCGGATAAAACGGAATGGAAATCAGGCGATGGAAAAGATAGGAAAGGGTCGCGACACGAGTGTGCACGCGTAACAAGGCATGGTCGAATAATTCGATTTAGGTCGACTGCTCGCGAATGAGGCGAAAACTGAGATTTTCCATCTGGCAGAGAGCCCGAGTTTATTTTCCTTAGTGAAGTACTATCGCCTGAATTTTCAAGCATCGAACGGAACTCGCGTTGTTCGCGAGATTTCTGTTTGCTTGCTAATTTCCAAGGGAACATATATGTTGGCTATACTTCTAAAAACACATTTCCACCGAGAGTTTTTTTCGTAAATTTCTGACTCGGCCTTGCCGCGTTACATCTACGCTGGACCGACGAGATAGCAGCGAGGCGAGTTGCTGGTATATCGAGAGCAAATAACGAAGAGCCGTAAAATCATGCGAGTGCACGGAAACGTGGCGACATCGTTCTTCCGAATTGTAAAAGGCGAAAGTTTCGGTGCAACTTTGATAACTCTTCGGGGCATGCTGTGTAAATGTCTGACACGTGCTTTCTTAAAACACTTAGCCTACCGAGCAGGGAAGAATCGCTACGAGCCTCGCTGCAGACGTCTCCCACACGTTTCTTCTAGCAATGCGTTCCCTTCCATTTTAGTTATTCTTTCTCTTTTGTTATTTCGTTAGTCTTTCATTCTATTTCTCCGCGCCGCAGCAGCGGTATCCGCTCTTGTTCCTTCGATTACAGAAAGATCTTTAATTTCGTATTCCACGTAAATCACGCGTAATATAGGATTGTTGGCATTATTATAGCATATTAATCGGTTAAAATCAACTTTATCTATTCTCCGTGTCCTTTAATTAGCGAAGATTAGCAACTTGTCAGAAATGCGAGGTGGAAAGCATACGCCTGACTGTGGCACGCGCGGTTGGCTAATTGTAAGTGTTAAAATAGGCTTTATAGTGTATAAGGAAAAGAACGTCGTGCGTGCCAAGGATTGGAAACTTCGGAGATTCTGCGTGGATTACCTTGTCGAGTGCTTCCGGCATTACAACTGCATTAGACGTATTAATAGAAGCGCTATGAGCCGTCACTCTCTGTTTACATCGCGTCACACCGTTGGTCCCATTGACCATACCGGTTTTGCTCGCTGAGCGCGTCGTTTTCCGAAAATCTTGTTCAAGAAACAGATTAAAGTTCCTCGTACGTCGCTTCTCTTTCACGCGTGCCAGTACGACGAGCCGTGATATCGTTTATCTAACGCATAATTAATTGACCCGTGTCAACTATGGGTCACACGAGTCAAAGCCAAAGGGGAAGTACGGTGAATTACGTAAATTTCTATTAAATTCTGCACGTGGAAAGAGTAACAGATGCACCTATACGCTCGTTTATAAGTATAAGAACCCGCCTGTTATTACTAATCGCATACTTGGAATTTCTGCGAATAAATATCTCCTTTGTCGATCAAAGCGATCGTTGTGATCGAAAGTCGTTTAACTTACAAACGCTGTTACTCGTAACTTACCGGTAGTAACAGATGGTCGTGGAAGACATTTCGGTGTCGTGCATAATGGATTTAGAGGACTGTCTGTTACAGTTTCGGGTTTAAAACTTGCTCTAAATCGCGAGAAACGCGAACAACACTTGCCCATTTTTCCTTTTCAAAGACATACGGTAAAAACCACGACGAAACTTGTTACTTAATTGTCGTTCTCTTCTGCTCTTTAAATTTAAGTGTCTACATCTGTCAATGGCATACTTTCAACAGCACTTGATTTCATTCCACTTCGATGCCGTTTCTTTAGCACGACACTTCGCGACGATTTATCGTTACGAAACGTACCTTTGATTCACGAAACGTAATTATCTATATGAATGTCGTCTTTTTCCTAAGAACATTTTAAATTTCGCAAAATTTATCACCTTAACGAGGGTAACTGTTCAATCACTGACATACACTGCTCGAGAATGTTAAAAGAGTATTTAGCGTAAACGTGTATATGACAAAACGTTGTTCTATTAAAATAAATTCGTTAAGATCGAGGTAATAATTTTGAAATATCGATAGCGGCAATAAGTTTGAGAAGAGATTGAAGATCGAACAAGAAGTAACTGGATGATATCACGTCACATTTTAAGCTCGAACGCGGACTGTTATAGACGACGTGTAGTGTCGATCTGCTCGCAAGTAAATGAGCGACTGTCAGAGAATCATCTGGCCTAGTGAATGATGCAAACGACAAGACCTGTTCGCAGCCTTCGGTTAATTTTTAGGCGATTGCGAATGCTAATGATCCGCCTATAGGCATTACTTACCGATCGTACCACTTACTTCCTTTGCTAGATAATTCTGAACAGTATCCTTTTATTATTTGTAATTTAAACATGACTTTAAATACATTACATCTCGATTTATTACATTTAATAATATTAACTACAGTTGTACTTAGTAGAAGAACTATGAAATCACACGTGCAGACTCTCGTATCTTGAATTTCTTGAATGTCACGTCTATTAATGGCAAATATCGTTACTCGCTTATTTCTTAGAAATTAATCGTAACGTGTGTAAATATATTTCGTAGCCTACTAGTTTGATAAATGAATCCTTCTTTCGAATCCCATCGTTTTTATTTCATGGTTGTTAGCTGGTTATCTGTTATCTTCTATTTTAATAGTTTGCAATATATCGTCAACAATTACGTATAGATATCTATACACATATTTACCAGATTCATCCTGTAATTGAATTTTTAATTAATTTTGAATTAAACATTTTGGAGGAAAACAAAAAAGAATTATACTTACTTCTTGCACTTCTACGTTTACAATACCGCGTCTTCTTATTCCTTGAATGTAAAATTTCATTGTCATATGTTGTACTCCGTCCTTCATAAATACAACATAGCTGCAACAATATATTTTATCGATAATAATTAAGGAAAAGATTGCAATGAAAAATAATAATTACGCAAATGCAATTTTACTTTATGTGATTCCTATGTCCGCGTCTAGTTTCTTGTCCATATGCTTTTATTGGTTCTCCAAGTGCATCTATTACTTTAGGATGCTTGATACAACGATCTAACGCTTTATTGTACACGCTATTTGAACTCTTGCTAGAAAATAATTCATCAAAAATTATATAAAACATGAAAGCCGTGATTCCTACACCGCCAATTATTACACCTAGGTATCCAACAAATTTTGTATTTTCTTTAACTGAAATAAAAACAATATTCAGAACAGTTTTGATTATTATCCAGTAGATCTCTGTATATAAGTATATGAAATTTACCTACATCTGCAAATCCAACTTGTACTTTATTCTTCTGTTCGATAGAATCTGATTTAATTACTGGTTTGTTGGTACAATATAATGCATTTTGTCGAAAATTAAAATTCACATTAAAATTAGAAAAAATGCACACATTTTTCAAATTAGAGGCTGCTACGAATCTTTTGTATAAAATGTAATTGATTACTCGTGTCGATGCCATTTCCTAAAACAGTAACAAATACTACTTACCAAAAAGTAAAACAAGTAAACTATAACTATAACTATAATGAAATGTATTCAAATACTTACTTGTATCAAATTTTGCTATATAATGTATCAAAGTTTCACTAACAAAATTAAAGCAATGCAATCCATACAAATATTTAAACAAAACACAGGGAATGCTATCTATATTAACGGAGAACTAACATTTAATATATATTGAATGCTATAGAATAACTGTAATAATACTTCTATAATCATTATAAACATTATACGAATTGCTCAATCATATTCTAAAACTATCTATTACTAATCAATTACTTATTTTCTATTTAAATTTTACTTACCTATATGTAAATGAGAAATATCGTAATCGTAAAAATATATTTGCGAATATACGTGTACTAATAATAATATTCTAATACACACTCGATTTAAGGGACACTAACATAATCTACAATCATGTTTGATTATTCCGTCGTCTATATGAGAAATGAAACAATGTTAGGTTATGAAGTTAAAAAGACAAAATAACATAACCTATCTTACATGTCAACGAAGGGTGGATAGTGCTGTTATCTTTAAAAACCGCTTTACAAGAGAAATACAAAATTTTGTTAATACTAAAGTAGATAAAATTATAACTCTTAATGAAGACTGCTCCACATCAAAGGCTAGTTATGGTTGGTGATCGTGATGGGTAAATATTCGTTATATTCTTTATATATATATTCTCGATATTTTATTGTATTTCTTATTACATCGGCCAATTAAAATATTCAAGTATTAACTTGAAATTATCGATAATTCTCGTACATCATATTCGTATTTTACGTGAAAAACAATGTTTCGATTAAATTGATAATTAACCTTATTTTTAGATTGAAAGAATTACTACGTCGCCGATTAGTTGAATGTGGTTGGAGAGATCAAGTAAAATTAATTTGTAAGGAATTAATAAAAGAACACGGTCATGATATTACTTATGATAAATTACTTTCAATGGTCACAACTAAAGCAAGGACACTTGTTCCAGACTCTGTTAAAAAGGAACTTTTACAGAAAATAAAAAATCAGCTTATTGCTCAAGAAGAAAAATTAAAAATGTAACAGTAAAAAGGAATATTCATTTATCAACCTTTATTTTGTAAAAAGAATAACGTTCACTGAGATTATGTACAAACATCATTATACTATTTTAATATATATTACGCATTACTATATTACACTGTCGTACTGTAACATTAATCGATAAACTTATGCTAAAACTACAAATAAATTATATTTATATAAACTGATGTGAATGCTATATTTATTTAACTATAAGTATATTTATTTAATTCAATCTTATTACTTATGTAATTATAGTTTCCGATTAAATAATACGAGTAAAGAGTTCAATTTTGAAGGAACATACGAAATCGTAATAACTACTTGGAAACTATCGATATATACGTTCACGAATTGCCGTCAGATGGAGGTATAGAGACTTTTCACTGGCCATAGTGCTATAACAGAATTTTTTATCCAAAGTTCAAAGAACGACATACGTGCATTTTTGTGACAATAGTTTTTAACTCGTAATCATACAGTAATTATTTAAATTGTCTTTTAACACATAAACAATGTTGATCAAAGTGAAGGTAAGAACATTAACCGGCGGAGATGGAGCTACAACATTTATAACCAGTTCTGAAAATATATTCTAACCTTGTTTCAGACTCTTACCGGAAAGGAGGCAAGTGCATAATAATCTTACGTATTTTTAATACGATTACGGTGATTTAACGTGTAAAATAATGTTTATCGGCATATATTTGAGGAAAATAAATAGCTGTAGAAACAAAATAATCTGGTCTATCGGAAACGCGTGGTCAGTTAAAAATGCAAAATTTGACACTTGACACTAATAATAATTCTTTCATACGATAGATATACATTCCTTTGCATTTATTGTTATTATATATTGTCTGTTATGTTTCACAAATATCCTGTTGATATGTACGATAAACAGAGTATATTTAAGTTCAAGAGCAATCATCGATGTTATTATTCTCATAGATTGAAATAGATATAGAACCTACAGATAAAGTAAAAAGGATCAAGGAAAGAGTGGAAGAAAAGGAGGGAATACCGCCGCAACAGCAGCGATTAATATTTTCTGGAAAGCAAATGTAGGTATTATAATTAAACGTAGAAATAATTTATACAATTGTACAAGATAATTTCCTAAACAAAAGAATTACGTTTTAATGTTTCATTCCATATTGCCTTTAGTATGAAATTGCTTAAAGCATGGTGTAACACATAGCCCTACATTACAATAAGCGCAATAATAACGAGATTCCTTTCGCATTCCCCTAGATGCGCAAACTTTACATCTTCTTGTAGCATTCATCTTCTTTGGTGTTGATGGAACATACTCTGGAAAGTGACTTTCTAGAGTCCTTATCGAATCTGAGTCGTATAGTTGTCCTGGTTTTCTTGTTCCTGTTCCATCAATTATGATATTTTAACATCATTTCTTCTTACTTTTCCTTGTCAAATATATCTTATATTTACATAAAAATCAGAATTGTATTAATTAATGCTCATAGTTGTGTGTTTTTTAATTAATTGACGACTTTGAATGTGTTTCTAAAACAGAAAAGGAATTTGAGAGATGAAGATATAAAAGTTTTTGTTGTCTTTTAGGAATGATGAAAAAACGGCGCAAGATTATAAAGTTCAAGGCGGATCAGTATTGCATTTGGTACTCGCATTAAGGGGGGGCTTGTAATTATGACATTCCTTGCTCTGGAATGTGTGTGTATGTGTGTGTGTGAATATTACAGATTGTACAAGATCAGCCACAAATATAATAGGACGCTTTCCAATGTTACATTCGCGCTCTGTTAGCAAAGACTTATAATCGTCTTTGTATCTCTATTTGATTGAACGATTACATTTAGAATTGAAATAAATATTTAATAAAATAATTTAGTTATAGACACCCAGTACTTGCTTAACCGATATAATAATTATCTCTGGATTCTGATCTTATAGCTGTTGTGAACAATATTCACGTACAATAGATCTAGTATGAATTTCATTTTACTAAGTTTTTGCAATCTTCATCGAAGCGAGACCCGATCCGAATGCGAATAAATTTCATTCGAAAATTCGAATTCCTATTAATTTCAGTTATCAGTTTCTATGATATTTGCTGTTATGAGTTGCCAGACTCCATTTTGTTTTGAAAAATCGTTGGCAAATAATACAGTACGCGGTAGAATTCTGCGACTCCTCGTGTTTCGATGTAATGTGCCGTAGAAGAGCGTGCTGCGTTGTAAATGTTACACCGCATTTATCACAGAACGATCCAGGCGAATGCAAACTCCATGCCGGTATCCTTGCGTGTGCCTCTATAAATTTATTTCTTCCTATAACTAACGCTGCAATAATATCGTATCGCAATAAATATTTGATCAGGACCATTTTAAATTCTTTCAGAAATATTTTGTGATTGTCAAATATTAACATAAATGATATTATTTGTCTTCTATAATTCGTTTTCTACACGCGTAACGAACGATCAGTCAAACTACAAATCGATTATCAAAAGCTACAAGTTACTTGTTATTACTTGTTACTTTTACCAATTAGTAGTGTAAAGTAATAGAAATATTTACGTTATAAATTATTTTATCGCAAAACAATGTTATAACCTGGGATTCTTGGGTAAATATCGATAATAAAACTTTTCGAAATTTCATCGACAACTTTCACTTTCTTTTCCTCGTTGTTGAAAATTTCAAAGATTTTCAAGAATCTCAGGAAGATCGTTTAAAAATCTTACCAAAGGACAAACTAAACGATGTTATGTTTTCTTTTCCGGTTAAAACGAAATAATACATTAGTCGTTATTATCGCAATTATTACCGCAATACCTACTGTTTATGAGACTGCGAAATATCCGCTTTCGAATTACATTGAAAGAAACAAAAAGGAAAAAAAAGGGGGGGAAAAAGGAAAAAAAAAAAGAAAGAAAAGAAAAAGTATGTTCACACACCACAGTCAGAACAAAGACGTAATCAAAAATACGTTTAAAAGAACATAATTGTTATATTCGCGTTTCTATTTTTAATTCCTTGTAAATAAATACCACAAACCGAGTTAAATGTTATTAGAACGCATCTAAGATCTAATAGTAATATGTATCTAGAACATAAGGAAATGCATCGAGCCAACGTCTATTCACAACTTTGTGTCTCGATCGCGTTATTTCTATTTAATATACACGTCATTTTCCCTAAAAATATCAACACTAGAACTTCCATTGTAAATCGATTTATTTACATTGCTGTAATAACATTTTAAAGCATACTTTTATGTTACTTTTAACTCACTTACAAGCTCACAATTAATACATATACGTAACACGTTTTTAAATCGAAACGGAAAGCTTGCGACTATCGACATTACTTGATCATGTATCTATAGTCACTTTGTATTTCTGCGTCTAGGTACGTGGTGCGTTTCGCGTTCGCGATATATGATTAACCATGCGTTTATGAAATAAACATTTCGTCGAAACATGATACATATGCGTATCGTTTCTTTGCGAAACCTACTGACCTGCTTTTGAAACGAAATCTTTTTCTCTTTTTTTTCTTTTTTTTTTTTTCTTCTTTTCTCTTTTTTTCGTTTTTTTAATTATAAACTCATCGTTTTGGTAAATGCATCGGTGTGTGCGTGTGCGTGTACATGTGTATGTTTACCGTGTATGCGTGTGAGCGTGTGTGAGCGCACGCGCTTGTACGTGTTTCAAAATACAACAGCTTAAATATGGTTTAATCGATGTGACGACAAGACAATTTGCTGGTTGTGAGACCAATTCGGTAAACTATCGTTAACACGTTAACTATCGTGCGATACATTGTACAAATTCACGCTGTCACTCTAACATCTTACTTAGTAACTAAGAAAAAAAAAAAAAAAAAAAAAAAAAAAAAAAAAAAAAAAAAAAAAAAAAAAAAAAAAAAAAAAAAAAAAAAAAAAAAAAAAAAAAAAAAAAAAAAAAAAAAAAAAAAAAAAAAAAAAAAAAAAAAAAA